TCTCTTGCTTTTTATTAGTGTCATTTACTCATCATTAGCATAAATTGAACATCATCAATATCAGTTGTTTATCATCTTCAGTATCGACTGATTATCACCAGCATCATTCTTCAACCATTATCGATGAATCTTAACCAGAATTCATCTATAATTTTCTAAGTGATTTAAAGCCAAATAGAATTATATTTGCTATTGGAGATACCATTATTCACTTTGACAGAATTCCTGTTTATCTTTTATTAAACAGGTGAAGTTATCCGAAATTCTTATTTCCCCCCTTTTTTTTATTAAATTAAAGTATTTGCAATATATTACAAGTGCGTATTTTCTTTAACTTCATTTAAATTTATGAACTGTACATTTTTATTATCGTTCCATTTTATTTAATTCTCAAAAAATATATATAGGAAATTGCATATTTTATTTTTTATATATTTAAGTGTAGAGTTATACAACTATTTACATCATGTTTTATACGAAGAAACGTTAAATATTCTGGAATTTTAAACATAATTTATATAACACGCTCTCTTTACTGATAAAATAAATGTTAAAAATAATATTACATTCTTAAAAATTCGAATTAAATACTTGTAAAAAAGAAAAATGTAAAGATTTTCATAAGAATATCTCGACAAAATGCAATATTTTTAAAGAAAACGAGATGGAAAAATCGTAAGAAATCAAGTTTTTCCAATAGAAGATTAAATTGCTTTATCAAGTTTTTCAAAGAAATGATAATAAAAAATATAAAAAATAATTTTAAAATTCCAATATTGATGATAAGTAAATTTAGTAAACCAGCTTAGAAAATACATAAAACATGAATGGGAAGTTAAAGTTACTTTTTTTTTCCCCCTGCAATTTCTCTCTAGAGATCTGTTAAGATATACTTTATTTTATTTATTTTTTTTTAAATTTCTATTTTGTAATTATATTTTAGTAGCGTAAATCGAATCGAATAAATAAATAATTTTCAATAGAATTACCATTGTTAAATATTCTCGTACTATTTTATTGATTTAATTACTTGGATGTTGATAGTGAATGTCAGTTGCAGGTATTGTTGTATTCACACGAAGAGAGATGGAAAATCTTTCATGGACAAAATAAAAACTGAATGGAAACAATAAAGGAATTGTGATTTGGTCGATACTTTTTATAGAACAATATCACTTACTTGATATATTGCAACTTAGTTTATAGTTAAAAATCCGTAAAATGTTTGATAATCTTTAATGGTTAAACTTGATAAATTAATATTTGATATAGAAGAACATTAATTTTAATAAAAATCCATAACAATATTGGTTTTATCCTTTATTATAAATCTCCTGAAAAGTTGGCTAGTTGATGGAGAGCTCTTTGAATAGTTCTTGTCATGTCAGCTCTTAAGCAATATCAATGCATCAATATAATATCATTCGTGCAGAATGATGTTTCTCTATGTGTAGTCAATCAATTATTTCGCGGTTTCACAGATAACAATAATTAATTAATCGTTTTAATACATCGTGATCATAAGATTATACGATCTGAATTCCAAATCTTTACCTTTAGGCTTTATTAATAACATTATACTCGCTGTTTGGTGAGTCTAAAATGAGAAAATATAACGTATTAGCATGATTTCTATTCTATATAATAACTTACAACACTATATTTCATAGTTAGCTGCACACTCAGGATGAAGAAAATTGTATAGACGTATATAGAGAATCTTCCTCTTAGGTATAATTTGTACAAGAAAAGTAAAAATGCTGACTTTTTTAAACTTTTTTGGCAATTTGGAATTGTGTAACTTCATCTAGTAGTGATTTTTACAGTTATTTTTTTCTATACAGTCCAATTTCCCGTCATCGTTTTTATGAAATGGTCGATTCTGGAAGTACCTATTCAGCAGGAACATCAAAATATATGAAATTTATAGTGGTGAATATAATGTATTATATACTATTTAAATGCTAACATCCATTGTTACTGCATAAGCTTTCAGAATAATAATGTAACCTACATTCAAAAGTGGATCCAACGAAGAGTAAAGGAATAAGATGTCATAAACGATTATTCCTTTCTATGTTTTTATTTTAAATATGATTTTAGCAAGTAAACAATAAGATAAAACGTTAAGAAATGCTTTATATTATATAAGGTTTGTCTGGAATATCTTCACTCCTCCACAGAATTATGCGGAGGAAGGAAAATTGCAATAACATAATTAAGATTTATTATTATACTCTATGATTATACTTACATAAAAGTACGTTTATGAAATAATAAGTAATTAAAGTAAACGTTTTAATGTTAATCTCTTTTAATCATAATTAATGAAAATACAATTTCGTATTTACTTATTTAAGGTTTAAATGATATAAAATGTTAATAAATTTATGATTTTTTTTCCCCGCATTTAATTATGAAAGCCGGGAAGGAACAAAGAATATAAACAGTAATATAGAATTTGCTGTGTTTTAAATTATTAAAAAGTTTAAAAACTCAATTATAATTTTGCATATAATTTCATAAATGAAGCTATAAAATGTTTAAAATATGGTTATAAATGTAATAAACTTTATAGTCGCCATCACATATTCAAATCTATATTCTCTTGATACCAGTTTCGAGTAACACTGAATAATATCTTTATACTAAATTTTATTATAGGCATAACTTTAGAGGGATTAAAAAAGAAAAAAATGAATCTCTTGAGTTATATAATTCCAAGAATAAAAATTCTCTTTTGATAAAGGGTGGCCCAAAAACCAGTTAACCGCATTTTGTTCTTGCAGTGTTTCAGCTACACTCGTGAATATGATATGGTTAAAACATTTAAAATAAGTTAATCGTTTAGTCTTTAGAATTGTTAACTTACTTTCGAGCTATCTTTTATTATACACGTAGAGAGTTTCTTAGAGTAACTTGATGTTAAAAACGAGTCACGTTTGGTACCCAATGCGCTTTAAATAAGGCGAAAATTTAGTCTTTACAATGTGGTTAACTGACTATTGGACCACCCTGTATACTACTTGCAGAATATCCTAGATTCTACTTAATGCAAATTTATGTTAAAAAAAAAGGGGGGGTTATGTTTGACACCCAAATGCGCTTTTATATCCCTAGAGATGTATAGATACGAAGGAAAAAAAAAAAAAACAGATGTTACATGAAAATACCATTTTATTGCTTTCAGAAAACGTTTGGAAATTTTTGCGCCATTGCCATAGCGTGAAAGTAAGTTATTTATCCATTTATTCATTCAAAATGGCTTTGTTTGTACACTCAATTGTTAGATATTTGTTGTACAAGTACATAAAATTTGACTACAAACCCACATTTTAATAATAAAACTTATCGATTAATCTTCACTTAACTTATGTTCTCGTTTAATTTTTACAAGCTGAATATTCTCTATTACAAATATTTTACAGTTTCGAAACAATTAAAACAATATATTATTTAGAATATTTAATTTAAATTTAATTTCTACAATATTTTAAAAATTAAAAATAAAAATCATCTTTATTTTATTTAGACATTATCTTCAGTTTTGCTTTTATTGAAATGTTAATTTTTAATTACAAATGAAATTTATTGAAATTTTGATATTTTAAACCATTTTCTGATAATCCTGTTAATTAAATTGTGTTTAATTTGAAGTAAAACAGTAGAATTACAATCTTTGTAATGGTGGAAGAGGGTCATAAAGATCAGATATCAATAGAAGTGGATGAATGCACTCTGTTTATATTCGTTAATTAAGGAAATGAATTGCCTCTTTGAATATTGATTATAATTATTATCTTAACATAAAGTTTACATATTATTTTGTAATTTTTATGTTTTAAAAATTGTAAAAAAAAAAAAAAATCATTACAAAAATCTAAAAAATCAAAATAAAATTAAATTGTANAAAAATATATGTTGTAGAGCTTCTTGTTTTTGGCACGTGTAAGGTAAAAGTGACTTGTGAAGTACACAAATATAGATTTTGTAACAGAATCTAAAATGCCAATGTTTTGTAATGGGTAAATAAATACAGTATATAATTTGCAGGCTTTGTTAAAGTATTTAAATATATCTTTTGTAGTAATATGTATAGTAGAGTAACCAGAGATCCGGATTCACCTTACATTTGTAAATAAAGAAATAAAGAAAAATTGAAATAAGTACAGTACATTAAAGTAATTTAAATGTGACAAACTTTTATATAAACATGTATGTATAGTACAATATCTAATCTTTACTCTTTACTCATAGCTATATACAAAACGGTACGGGGGGAATAAGTTTGCACTTTCTAATTCGGATCCCCTAATAGTGATTCTAGTTACGCTACTAAATATTTAAGGTATGAATAAATTAAATATAATATGTATATGTACAAATATATATTTTTCAGTCATTTATAAGATACGAATGCCTAGTGAGAGAAAACACAAATGTGTATTATACAATAAAGAATAAGTTAAATACAGTATAAATTTATGTACTATTATACTAATATACAAATATTAATATTATAGAAGAAAATATAATGTTTCTAAAAGTACATAAATATAAATTTTACAGCAAATTACAGCCTTGTAAAAATCTTAAAAAGAAGCATAAAAGTGTTGTAAGAAACGTTAAAAAATATATGAGTCGATCATTTTCTGCGAAATTCAACTAAAAATATATCAAATTTTGTTCATTTAATCCTTAAATAACTTGTTCACAATCAATTCTGGTGCAGAAATACTCAGCGTGTCGGTGATATATATTCATTTATTAATGATTCAGGATCAAATGTTTAAATGATTTTTTCGGCCTTTACGTGAGTAGAATAAGGAGAAACAATATTGAAAATTCAAATCGTGTATTGTTATTTAGTTTAAGATACTTTTTTTCTTTAAAAAAAATCACTTCTAAAAAACAATTTCCAGGAATGTCCCTCTGGTATCGTAACGGAAGAAACAGCATTATGTAAAAGTACTAATTTCACTAAAAGCGAAATTCGAATTATGTATCAAGGATTTAAGCAGGTAAAATATTAATTTTTTATATTTAAAAATGATTAAATTATTGTTAAAGATACTTAAAGAAATGTAATTTAATTAAATTTTGTTATGCTTCAGTTACAATTACGCTTCATTCAGTTATAATGTTAATGATGTTCAATCTCCATATACAAATTACAAATCTCTATCTTAAAAAAAAACTTTTGTTTAAAAAGGTTTTCTTTAGGTAGAGATGAGAAAGAGCAAAGGGATGAAAGGAAGATGAAGAAAGATTTTTTTAGAAAAGGATGCTATAAATACATAAAATATGATTTTTTAGAATAAAATTTTAAATAATTTCATCTAAAAAGTAAATAATTTTTATTTATTTATTTATTTTTTCTCTGTAATATACAGAAAAAATAATAGTTTTATACCTTCAGAATTAGATGAGTAAATAGCCTGTCTTCTAACAAAAACGACAGTTTAGCTAAAGAGCAATTTACTCAAACAATCCACTTTCCCTTGTTTCCTCTTTCCCTACGAGAAAAATCAATAGATAAAGGTTAAATATATGTAATCTTGTAAACAGTCGTTAGGATTTATGATATTTTTTTTTTAAAAATATGAAAAAGGTAGGAAGGAACGTCACAAGATTTTCTTTTCCTTTTTTTTTCTTTTTAGAGTAGCTTCAATACAAGAAAGCTATAAAAATATATGTTGTAGAGCTTCTTGTTTTTGGCACGTGTAAGGTAAAAGTGACTTGTGAAGTACACAAATATAGATTTTGTAACAGAATCTAAAATGCCAATGTTTTGTAATGGGTAAATAAATACAGTATATAATTTGCAGGCTTTGTTAAAGTATTTAAATATATCTTTTGTAGTAATATGTATAGTAGAGTAACCAGAGATCCGGATTCACCTTACATTTGTAAATAAAGAAATAAAGAAAAATTGAAATAAGTACAGTACATTAAAGTAATTTAAATGTGACAAACTTTTATATAAACATGTATGTATAGTACAATATCTAATCTTTACTCTTTACTCATAGCTATATACAAAACGGTACGGGGGGAATAAGTTTGCACTTTCTAATTCGGATCCCCTAATAGTGATTCTAGTTACGCTACTAAATATTTAAGGTATGAATAAATTAAATATAATATGTATATGTACAAATATATATTTTTCAGTCATTTATAAGATACGAATGCCTAGTGAGAGAAAACACAAATGTGTATTATACAATAAAGAATAAGTTAAATACAGTATAAATTTATGTACTATTATACTAATATACAAATATTAATATTATAGAAGAAAATATAATGTTTCTAAAAGTACATAAATATAAATTTTACAGCAAATTACAGCCTTGTAAAAATCTTAAAAAGAAGCATAAAAGTGTTGTAAGAAACGTTAAAAAATATATGAGTCGATCATTTTCTGCGAAATTCAACTAAAGTTAAAGTATTTAAATATATCT